GTAAGACGCCTCTGACGTCGTCTGTGGTTCAGGAGTGGCTTAACAAGAGGAATACGACAATTGTAGCCAAATTCCTTGACACGTCTTTGTGTGGTGGCTCTTGATGCCTTGACCCCAGCCTCAGTCCATTCCTTGTGAAGTTCACTCAAATTCTTTAATCGATTTTGCTTGACAATCCTCATAAGGCTGTGGTTCTCTCGGTTGGTTGTGCATCTTTTTCTTCCACACTTTTTCCTTCCACTCAACTTTCTGTTAACATGCTTGGATACAGCACTCTGTGAACAGCCAGCTTCTTTGGCAATGAATGTTTGTGGCTTACCCTCCTTGTGAAGGGTGTCAATGATTGTCTTCTGGACAACTGTCAGATTAGCAGTCTTCCCCATGATTGTGTAGCCTAGTGAACCAAACTTAGAGACCATTTTGAAGGCTCAGGAAACCTTTGCAGGTGTTTTGAGTTGATTAGCTGATTGGCATGTCACCATATTCTAATTTGTTGAGATAGTGAATTGGTGGGTTTTTGTTAAATGTGAGCCAAAATCATCACAATTAAAAGAACCAAAGACTTAAACTACTTCAGTCTGTGTGCATTGAATTTATTTAATACACAAGTTTCACAATTTGAGTTGAATTACTGAAATAAATGAACTTTTCCATGACATTCTAATTTATTGAGATGCACCTGTAAGTAGGTACATTTTTTTGGAATAAGTATCACCTAGCGACTATCAAAAAAGTACTCTATATAGTATGAACATATGTGTAGTATAAATAATCCAGACCAGAGCATGTTGTCATTGTCATGAGATCCACCAGCATCTGTTCACTTCACTGCCGTTTTACAAGTCCTCTCACGTTGCCTCGTGGAATAGTAAAGTGTCCATCATATGCTCACTTCTGTTCATGTAGGCCTACTGTTAATTACAACAGCTGTTGTTTACGACAGTAAATTCCGCTCATTTTACTGTAGGGGGCTACACAGAACTACATGCAGTTGCTTTAACACCAGTGCAACCTTTCCATTACACAAAAGGTTCTTTAGGTTATCAAAATGTCCTTTACACTAAGAAAAATATGGTTCCTTTGAAAACTGATCAGTTTTTTCTGGAATCATAATATGTGTCACGCCCCTGGACACATTCTGTGTGTTTTTCCCTCTCCACGTGCTCCATGACCCAGTTTTCCCTTGTTAATTGTTTGAGTTCCAGGTGTGTGTTGTCAATTACCCCATGTATTTAAGGTCCTGTCTGTGCTTTCTGGTTTTGTCTGGTATTGAATGTTCGTATTTCCCCGCTACGTGTGTGTTCCTTGTTCCATGGATGTTAATTAAAGTCTCTTTGTTTGAAGTCAACTCCTCATCTCCTCGTTCCTCGCTCCGTGCTCCTCACAGTAGCGGTTCGTGACAATATGCTTTGTCTATGGCTTGGCTGCAAAAACTCTCTTTTGAAAGTGTACATGTGCATTTTTCAAACTCCACAAACTATTTTTTCTACAAGAAGTAATAATCTGTCCCTGTTTCATTGGCGCGTACAGTGACTATCACACTAATCCTGTGTCTTATGAGTAACATCCTTCCAGCACCTGTCACAGTGACACTTCGACGTTGCACAATACTTCCCTCTTTTTGGCACAGTTCCCAATTCCCTCATTACTACAGTCCAGCTTGAATGAAATTAAAGTTGGAAGTTTATGAGGGCACAATTCACCTTACTGTTAGGCCATAGGATGGGCAGATGAATGGCCCATGAATGTAGTGTGGAATTTAGCCGGGGGTATATTGGGAGTGAAGAGTCTAATCTCATAAGAGGCTCAAGCCGCTTGAGGCTGGGTAGAGAAGAGGAAGTGAGCGATCAGAAGCATTGTAGTTTTAGACTGTGATTGTGTCTGTCGTGTCACACCACTTTCAGGATTTTTCTGATGGGGTTGTCGCTCGCAGTTGGATGTCCTGATGTGATGCTGCAATGCAATGAGAATGCAAAGGGTTGAGGAGAAGCCTGGAGCTACTTCTTGGATTTAGCAGGATCTTTAGGTCCTTACGCATGAGTTGTATCTGAGGTTGGTAAATGAGATTTCTGCAAAATGCTTTTGAGAAGTTAAGTCACTCAACTGAGATGATATTCAGCATTGTAATATGTCAAATTCAAAAATAGAGAAACATTTATCTGACAGAAAATGTCTTGATTGAATGCAGACCATTATCATACTTCATAGTATCATACTATTATTATAATTTTGA